GTAGGCCTCTTGTACGAGGAGAAGGGGGAGCGGAGGGGCCCACAGACCTGCAGGTCTGTGTGGGAGTATGTGGATCGGCTCAGCAAGAAGATACCTGTGTTCCACAACTACATGTATGCACCCGAGGACACGGAGGTCAGCACGGGGCCTGAGGGTCAGGGTGAGGGTGTGGCACCCGCCTGGCCCATCCTCAACGTTCGGCTCCCCCAGGTGCTGCGCCCCTACAGCAATGTGTCCAACCTGAAGGTGTGGGACTTCTACACTGAGGAGAGCCTGGCTGAGGGCCCCCCCTATGACTGGGAGCTGGCTCAGGGCCCCCCCGAGCCCCCTGAAGAGGAGCGGCCTGATGGTGGAGTCCCCCAGAGCAGACGCCGCGTGGTGTGGCCCTGCTACGACAGCCGTCCCCGGGCCCAGCCCGACGCCATCTCACGCCTGCTGGAGGTGTGTCCCCAGGGGCATGTGTGTGTGCATGGAAATGAATCTGTGTGGACGTATGCATGTGTATGTATGTGTGCCCCATGTGCATGTGCGTATGTGTACATGTGTATTGTGTGTCTTTGTGCACATGCATGTGTGTGTGTGTTGTCACAAACCTCTGGCGTCCTGATGCCCTCTCTGCTCTGGGAGGTGCATCACACCTGCTTCCTTGATGAGCTCTACCGCCCCTGGGGCTCCCTGCTCACCCGCCCTAACTCGGTGCTTGCCTGACTCCTTCACCACTTTGGTGCCCCTTCAGGATGGGGTGGGTGGAAGGCCTGGGGCTTGGAACTGACATGCAGGCTCTTCTCGCCCTGCCCTGCCCCCCTCACTGGTGGCTGTGTGGCTCTGGAGAGTTGAGTGTTACCTGGAGAAAGGGGATGCTGATTCCCACCTGCAGGGAGGTGGTGAGGTGTGAAGGAGGGAACCCACATGGGATCTGCCCAAAGACACTTGTCACCTCTCAGGGTTTGGGGAGCACAGGCTTATGGTTTTTATATCTGACAATACTTGCCTTGAAATCTGTGTGGTGACATGGCCACACTGTGTCCTGTGATTACTGTGTATATGGCATATTGGCTACACTTGTACATCCAACACATCTGTCTCTCAGGTGACTTTGCCATGATCAGCACACAGCTGGTCCTTTTTATCTTCACGTTAGCTTCCATCAAGTCGGTTTCTGACTTTTGGTTGTACCATGTGGGTGACACAGTGGAAGTGCTTCACACGATATTTCTTGGCTGTAATCTGTTCTAGAAATAGTTTGCTAGATCTGTCTTCCATGGAGCTGCTGATGGGTTCAAACTGCCAACTTTTCTGTTAGAAGCAGATCACAAATCACTCGTGTGACCCAGGCCTCTTTCTTTGTTCTGGGCTGACCATTTGTGTCTCTTATTGGCGTTTTGATACATTTACATTGAGTAACTGCTGCTACAATAGTATTCAGGCTTAGTATCTTGCTGTTTGTTTATTTGTTCTGTTCACTTTCCGATCCTTCTTCCTTTCCTGTCTCTCTTCATACATTTTTTAAATATGCCACTTTTCTCTGCTATACTTGTTTTTGAGTTTTGCCTCTGTTTTATGATGTATTGCTTGCTAGGGACTACAGTCAACTCTTCAATTTTTAACATCATGTCATCTCACACACAGGAACCTTATAACAGTACGCCGATCAGTCTGCCCGCTCGTGAGTGAACGGTTTACTGGCGTTAAGAGCATTCTGTTCTGTGTGAGCGTCACCACTCTTGAATTCCAGAGTATTTTCACCATCACACCCATTAAACAATCATTCTACCCCTCTCTACCCACGCCATTGGTAACCTCTAATCTGTCTTGTTTTGTCTCTCTGAATTTGCCTATTCTGGGTATTTCATGAAGGAACTCTGGTGGGCAGTGGTCAAGGCATTTGGCTGCTAACCAGAACGTTGGTGGTTCGAACCCACCGGCTGCTCCATGGAAGAAACATGAGGCAGTCTGCTTCTGTAAAGATTTACAGCCTTGGAAACCCAGTGGGGTCACTGTGAGTCGGAATCCACTTGACAGCAGTGAATTTGGTTTTGGTTTGGAGGTGCCTCATAAAAGTGGAATCATGCGATATTTCTTGTTTTGTATCTGATGTATTTCACTCAGCATAAAGTTTTCAAGGTCCACCCATGTTGTAGCAGGTATTAGAACTTCATTCTCTCTGTGGGTGAGTACTATCCCATTGTGTGGATGGATCATGTTTCAGTTACCCATTCATCTCTTGATCGACATTTGGATCCTTTCCATATTTTGGTTGTTGCAGGTAGTGTTGCAGTGATCCTAGGTGTCCAGGTATCTGGTTAAGTCTGTCTGTTTAGTTCTTTCGGATGTATACCTGTTGGATCCTGGAGTAATTCTATTTGACTTCTTGAGGAACCACCAGGCTGTTTTCCACAACAGCTGTGCCAATTTATAGTTGTACCAGCAGCATGTGAGGCTCCCCGTGTCTCCAGTTCTTGCCAACACTTCTTCTTTCTGATCATAGCTGGCCTAGCAGGAGTGAAGGGCTATCTTGTGGTTTTGATTTGCGTTTTCCCTAAGGATGAATGATGTTGTGCATCTCTTCATGTATTTATTGGCCATTTGTGTATTCTTTCTTAATTAGGTTGTTATTCAGGCTCTTGGCCTGTTTTTTAATTAGGTTGTTTGTTGTTTTGGTTGTTGAGTTGTAGGCATTCTTTGTATATCCTAGGTATAAACCTTTATCAGAGATGCGGTTCCCAAACACTTCTTCCAGTTCTGTGGACTGTCTTCACTTTGTTCATAAAGTCCTTTGATGCATTTGTTTATTTTATATTTTGTTACTTGTACTTTTGGTGTCCTGTGCATGAAGCAATTCTCAAAACTAGGGCTGGCTTTCTAAAAATTAAAGTTCTTTGTGCTTCCAAAGACCTCTCCAAAAGAGTCAAAAGATAACCTACAGATTGGGGAAAAATATCTGACAAGGGACTTACCTCTAAAATTTATAGAAAACTCCAACAACAAAAACACAAACAATCCAATGAAAAATGGACAGAACATGTGAATAGATACTTCACCAAATAAGTGAGTAAGGCATGAATAAGGCGTCCAACAAACATATGAAGAAATGCTCACGATCATTAGCCATTAGAGAGATGCAAATCAAAACAACAATGAGATACCATTTGGCCCCAGCACTAGTAGCAAAGTTCAACAAGAGAGAAAATAACAAATGCTGGTGAGGATGTGGAGAGATTGGGACTCTCGTACACTGCTGGTGGGACTGTAAAATGGTACAACCACTGTGGAAAGTATTACGGCGATTCCTTAGAAAGTTGGAATTAGAAATATCATTTGATCTGGGAATCCATTACTATGTAAATATCTTAAAGAAGTGAGAGCCATGACAAGAACAGACATATGCACACCCACATTCGTCACAGCACTATTTACAATAGCCAAAAGATGGAAAGAACCTAGGTGCCTATCAGCTGAGGAATGGATAACCAGACTATGGCACATACACAACGACGGAATACTGTGCAAGCCTAAAGAATAATGTAGAATCTGCAAAACACTGCATAACGTGGATGAACCTGGAGGACATTAAGCTGAGTGAAATAAGTCAATCACAGAAGGACAAGTATAGTATTAGTTTATTATTATAAAAAGTCAAAGAAAAGTTCATATATGGAAGGAAATTTTCTTGGTTACCAGGTGTGGGAGGGGAGGGAACGATAAAAACAAAACAAAACACACTAGATCTGCAAACATTACTACTGTGTTATGTTTTATGTTTTCCGTTATTACTTGGAGGTCTTTGACCCATTTTGGGTTAACTTTCACATGTGCTGAGGTATGAGTCCAGCTTCGTTTTTGTGCATGTTGAGGTCCAGTTGTCCCAGCACTGTTTACTGAAGGGTCTGTTCTTTCCCCATTGGTTGGAGTTAGCAGCCTTGTTGAAAGTGAGCTGGCCAGAGATGCGTATATTTCTGGACTCTTGATTCTGTTCCATTGGTGTGTGTGCCTGTTACCATACCAGTGCCAGAGTGTTCTGACTGCTGTAGCTATATGATAAGTTTTGAAATGAGGAAGTGAGTCCATGTACTCTGTTCTTTTTCAAGACTGCTTTGGCTGTTTGGGGCCCCTTGCAGTTGAGTGTGAATCTGAGGATGGGCTTTGCCATTTCTGCAAAGAAGGC